TTTTTTGTTTTTTTTTTTGTTTTTTTTTTTTTTTTTTTTTTTTTTTTTTTTTTTTTTTTTTTTTTTTTTTTTTTTTTTTTTGGTATGAGGGAACGAGCTCGCGTCCTTGTGCTTATGAGACAGGCCGAGGAACCACTGAGCTAAATCCCCAGCCCTTTTTCTATCTTTTCTTTGAGCGATTTGCTGTTGTTTGTTTGTTTTTGCAGTATCAGGGATCTAACCTTGAAGGCAGGTGCAGCACCACTGAGCTAAATCCCCGGCCACACATAGTTTTTTATAGTTGGTGTTTTTTCGACTTTGTACACCAAAAACCAATTAACGTGAAAAGTTTGATGCTTTTTTGGTAAACATTCAAATATTTTAAATGAGGTACTTTATTTCTGTGATTTTTTTTCCTGTTAAGTACTCATTGTTTAATATGATAAAAATCGAAATTAATAATTCATCAATAGAAATATTCTAGAGAATAAACGTGGGTCTGACACAACCATGTTCATGTGCCTTTAAGACAGGAAATGTGTCATGCCCTTGGGTCAGCCTCTTCCATCCTGGTGACAATGCATCCATGTCCTTAAATGGGCCGGTGTGGCCAGCCCTGCCTGTGACCCCTGGACTCTGGCTGGGGTGTAACGCAGGGTGGAGGCCTGGGGTTTAGCCCCTCAGGACTTCAAGTGAGAAGTGCTGTGGTTTCCTCTGACTGAGTTTCTCTGACATTTGGCAGTGAGTGGCTGAGGTGCGACTCAGGTGTCCTCTGCCTTCCTGGTTTCCTCCTGTCCCTGTAGCTGTGCCTTCCCTCTGTCCCCTGCTGTTTCTAGGAGTAAAGTGTGCTAGGCTCAGAAGGGCCCCGGTGTCCTCAGCCTGACACACCTGCCTTCTGCTTAAAGAAAGGCCTTTTGCACTTGTTTGTCCTGTCTGGAGTTTCCACCCTGTGGCAGCTGGATTGGCTCCTCCTCACCTCCAGTTCTGCAAAGGTCACTCCTGAGGTTTCCTCTGTCCACTCCTTCACCTGGTTCTTCCCAGCCCCAGGGCTGTTCGTTGCACAGCTTTCCTGTGCTCTAGATAAAGTTCCCAGTTTCTCTTCGGATTTGTGGGCTTGTTTCTCTCACCCAGAGAACGCTGTAAATGAAGGCAGGAATTGTGTCTGTCCTTGGCGTGTCTACCTCATGTCCTCCCTACAGCCTGGGCAGGGAGGTGGCAGACGCTGCTGAGAGATGAGTGATGTTTTGGCTTTGCTGCCCCAACTTCCGTCACAACTGGCTGTGGAGGAGGAAAGCTTGAGACAGTAAGGAAGTGAATAGGTGTGTGGTGTCCCGTGGAACTGTTGGTGAGCACTGAAGTTTGAAAAGCTTTCAGGTCATTTTCCCTTTGAGATCCTGCTGCTCTCCAAACCTTTCTCAGCCGAGAAGCCCTCTTAGCTCACCGCCCCTCCCTCCAAAGCAGGCCAGGCCGAGTAACTGATCTACCTCATATTTATGGGCATTTTTATGTATAAGGTGGTTTTTTTGTTGCTTTGCATGAGAAACTTACCTTTTGCAAAAGTTAAAAAAAAAAACACCTAGGCTTTCACAGTAGAAATTAATGTATTGTATGTCTCTGCCCTAGGCAGACATTTGAGCTTTCCTAGACTGAGGAGACTTTGAAAAGGTGACTATATTTATAGGTGGGATCGTGGAGGCTCATAAGTAAAGATGTGTGGGGATTGGTTTGGGATTTAGCTCAGCGGTTCTGCCCCCTACCTCCCAAGCACAAAGTCCTGAGTTCAATCCCCGGTACCAAAAAAAAAAGAAAAAAAAAGGATTGCTCTGCTTGTAATAATTAGGAATACAGCTGTACAGAAGGACTAATGTGTTTCTCCAATATTAACCTCAGATTTCACATAGAGTTTCAGCCAGAAATTCCTTTCATTTATTACTCCAGTCCCGTTGAGACTGATTATTTCACACGGTTAAGTGATGGATTGATTTTAGTATTCTAAAACAAGAACAAATTAATGTATTTCACGTGGGCTCAATCGGTTCGAAGATAGGTGTGGTCATTGTGTTTTAATCTGATGGGAAGCCGCCAAAAGGACCCGCAAAGCTGTCCCTGCCGTCCGCGCCACTCCGATGAGAGTCCATGTCCATTGCGGGGTCCTTGGTGTTCAGTGACTTCCACTGTAAGGGTGCGGCAGCTGCCCTGGTGCCGTGTTGTCCTGACACGACTTCTCATGGTCCCTCTGATGTTCTCTCTAGATATCCCCGTGTTCCCCACCATCACAGCCACTGTGACTTTTCAGGAGTTTCGCTATGATGAGTTTGATGGCGCCATCTTTACCATCCCTGAAGACTACAAGGAAGACCCAAGCCGGTTTCCTGACCTTTAACCGACAAGGAAAATGCTGTCATGTAACCGAGAAAGGGATGCAGACCCCAGAGCGAATCCAGACAGAAGGGACAAATGCTTTCAGTACAAAGGACTTGCCACTGAACCGCCGCGTCTGGGCCTCTAGTAAGCATTTCAGCAAGTTTCCTAATGTGCCATTTTCGGTCTTTTTAGAATCTCACTGTAATAGTTGACACTGTACTGACCCCAAGACCTTTGTATGTAAAGCAGCTATCAGTGCTGTGATTTGTTTTTAAAAATTTTCACACTTGTTGTTGAAATATATATGCATATAAATATATCTGTATCTATATCTAATCTAACACTCCTGGACCATTAACGTAAAGTCAGTGTCTTAAGAGAGATGAAGCCCTTTTAAACGTGTCACCTTATAGTCAAGGTGACATTTATAAATACTCCTTTGAGCTTTGTTTTCATAAAGTGTAAACTATGTAACATCATGTATAGAGTAATTTGAATGTGTTCGATATAATGAACTAGAAGGAATGCGATTTCCTGTAGACGGATGAACCAAACGGTGACCATTAGCAGTTGCATGTCCATGTGGCAGTACCTTTCCGAGGGAGCGCGCACTCTGCAGGGGACAAGGTACCTCCTCTAGCACCTGAGTGCAACTCATTGTGGTGCTATTTGTTTTTACCTGAATTCTTTCTCCAGCGGAAAATGTTTGGTACTAATCTTCCTTTTGCAGAACCTCTTTTCTTTTTTCTCTCCTTTTTCTAAACTTGTGTTGAAGAGTCCTTGTTACGTTCACAGGGTATGGCGTGCTCAGAGGTCGTCCTCTTCCAAATCTCGGCACTTTAAACAAACTCCAAATTTTTGAACTTGCTTCCTAATAATGAGTGTACACGTCTGATGAGTTGAAGTGGAATAAGGATATGTTCTTCCTAAAACAAAACCTATTTTGGACAACCCTACATATGTAACATGTCCACCACGGGGCTGTAATTCATGTGTCTCGCTGCCGGTCCATACACGACTGTCCCCTCGGTGGCTTCTAATCGTATTACTAGAAAGACAGATAAAAGTGCTTACACCTGTTTGTGCCACCAGTGGGACAAGCTGCCCGTGGGACAGTCTGGCGGGAACACGTGGATTCTTTCCGAGTAAGATGCACATTTTCTATACTGACAGAATGAATATATTTGTTACAAGCTAAGGTTCAGATACATATACAAGATGGGGGATTCCTATTTTTTTTTAAGGCACAGGAAAATACTGACTTATTTCCAAAGTGTTAAAATCATGCACTACTCATTTTTGCACTTAAAATTTTTGATATTCCAAGCTGGTTTGAAGGTCCAAGAATGAAAATAAATTAGGGAGAATAATGTGTAACGGTCATCAAGTGTCATGTATTAACGAGCTTAGCTAAATGTTTTTAAATTTGTCCCAATGAATTTGTTTGCCACTGTCAAGTGTTTAGTGACTGTTTAGATACCTTCAAAAGCAGAGAATTTGAAATGAGTTTAGAGACCTTTATTGAAGAGATGATTTATTGAAAAATCCAAAGCATCAACCATAAAAATTTTATAATAAACATCTTTTTCTCTTTTTATTAGTATATGTTTGCTGTACATAATCAAATTCATCTTGGGGAATTGGTGAATTATCCTGCATCTCGCTCGTTTCTCCTTCCCTCCCTGCCCAGTCCTTTCTCCGCCCAGACCCCTTCCTGTCCCGGGTGTGTTCTGCTT